TGGACACTTGCATCCTCCCAAGCCTAAACCAGGAAGAAGTCGAAACCCTGAATACACAAATAACAAGGGCTGAAATTGAGGCAGCAATTAATAGCTTACCAACCAAAGAATGCTCAGGTTCAGAAGGGTTCACAGCTGAATTCTACCAGACATACAAAGAGGAGCTGGTACCACTCCTTCTGAAACTATTCCAAATAATCCAAAAAGGGGAAATTCTTCCCAAATCATTTTATGAGACCAACATCATCCTGATATGAAAACCCGGCAGAAGACTCAAAAAGAAAAGAAACTTCAGGCCAATATCCATGACGAACATAGAAGCAAAAATATTCAATAAAATACTGGCAAGCCAATTGCAACAGCACATCAAAAACCTTATCCACCATGATCAAGTAGGCTATATCCCTAAGATGCAAAGCTGGTTCAACATACACAAGTCTATAAACGTAATTCACTACATAAACAGAACCAAACACAAAAATCACCTGGATTATCTCAATTGATACAGAGAAGGCCTTTGACAAAATTCAACAGCCCTTTATGCTAAAAACCCTGAATAAACCAGGTATCGATGGAACGTATCTGAAAATAATAAAAGCTATTTATGACAAACCCACAGCCAATATCATACTGAATGGGCAAAAACTGGAAGCATTCCCTTTGAAATATGACATTAGACAAGGATGCCCTCTCTCACCACTCCTATTCAATATAATAGTGGAAGTTCTAGCCGGAGCAATCAGGCAAGTAAAAGAAATAAAGGGTATTCACTTAGGAAAGGAGGAAGTCAAATTGTCTCTATTTGCAGATGACATGATTGTACATTTAGAAGACCCCATTGTCTCAGTCCAAAATCTCCTGAAACTGATAAGCAACTTCAACAAAGTCTCAGGATACAAAATCAATGTGCAGAGATCACAAGCATTCCTATATACCAATAACAGACTAACAGAGAGCCAAACCAAGAATGAACTGCCATTCATAAATGCTACAAAGAGAATAAAATACATAGGAATACAACTAACAAAGGATGTAAAGGACCTCTTCAAGGAGAACTACATACCACTGCTCAATGAAATAAGAGAGGACACAAACAGATGGAGAAACATTCCATGCTCATGGTTAGGAACAATCAATATCATGAAAATGGCCATAATGCCCAAAGTTTAACTTATAGATTCAATGCTATCCTCATCAAGCTACCAATGGCCTTCTTCACAGAACTGGAAAAAAACCACCTTAAACTTCATATGGAACCAAAAGAGAGCCTGCATAACCAAGTCAATCGTAAGCAAAAAGAACAAAGCTGGAGGGAGGCATCAAACTACCTGACTTCAAACTATACTACTACAAGGCTACAGTAATCAATACAGCATGGTACTGGTACCAAAACAGAGATATAGACCAATGGAACAGAACAGAGGCCTCAGAGGCAATGCCACACATCTACAGCCATGTGATCTTTGACAAACCTGACAAAAACAAGCAACAGGGAAAGGATTCCCTGTTTAATAAATGGTGTTTGAAAAACTGGCTAGCCATGTGCAGAAAGCAGAAACTGGACCCCTTCCTGACACCTTACACTAAAATTAACTCCAGATGGAATAAAGACTTAAACATAAGACCTAACACCATAAAACCCCTAGAAGAAAACCTAGGCAAAACCATTTAGGACATAGGCATAGGCAAGGACTTCATGACTAAAACATCAAAAGCATTGGCAACAAAAGCCAAAATTAGACAAATGGGATCTAATTCAACTCCAGAGCTTATGTACGGCAAAAGAAACAATCATTAGAGTGAACTGGCAACCAACAGAATAGGAAAAAATTTTTGTCATCTACTTATATCCAGAATGTACAAAGAACTAAAACAGATTTATAAGAAAAAAACAAACAAACCCATTCAAAAGTGGGCAAAGGATATGATCAGGCACTTTTCAAAAGAAGACATGTATGAGGCCAACAAACATGAAAAAATGCTCATCATCACTGGTCACTAGAGAATGCAGATCAAAACTACATTGAGATACCATCTCACTCCAGTTACAATGGCAATCATTAAAAAATCTTGAGACAACAGATGCTGGAGAGGATGTGGAGAAATAGGAACACTTTTACACTGTTGGTGGGAGTGTAAATTAGTTCAACCATTGTGGAAGACTGTGCGACGATTCCTTAATGGAAGACTGTGCGACGATTCCTTAAGGACATAGAAACAGAAATTCCATTTGACCCAGCAATCCCATTACTGGGTATATATCCAAGAGATTATAAATCATTCTATTATAAAGACATATGAACAGGTATGTTCATTGCAGCACTGTTTACAATAGCAAAGACTTGGAACCAACCCAAATGCCCATCGATGATAGACCGGACAGGGAAAATGTGGCACATACACACAATGGAATACTAAGCAGCCATAAAAATGATAAGTTTGTGTCCTTTGTAGGGATATGGATGAACCTGGAAACCATCATTCTCAGCAAACTGACACAAGAACAGAAAGTCAAACACCACATGTTCTCACTCATAGGCGGGTGTTGAACAATGAGAACACATGGACACAGGGAGGGGAGCATCACACACTGAGGTCTGTTAGGGGGGACTAGGGGAGGGACAGTTGGGGGTAGGGAGTTGGGGAGGGATAACATGGGGAATAAGGCCAGATATGGGTGATGGAGATGAAGGCAGCAAACCACATTGCCATGTATGTACCTATGCAACAATCCTGCATGTTCTTCACATGTGCCCCAGAACCTAAAGTGCAATAATATGTGTATATATATATATATATATGAAAAGAAAAAGCAGGAGTACTTAACATGAGAATAGTTACCCGACACAAAGAAATAAATAGAAACAAAGTACTCACAAGAGTGGACATCTGCCCCATCCACTCTACATGCTAGTGAGTGGACATCTGCTCCATCCACTCTACATGCTAGTAAGTCCAGTCCTAGAATGTCACAGACTCTGAGTTTAAAGAAAACTTAAAACTTTATCTAGTCCAACCCTCTACCCAACAATCTAATTTCATCCACAACACCCCCAAAGTAATTGCCCAGAGATGAGTACCTCCAGTGACAGGGAACTCCATGCTCAGTGTTCTAATACGGGAGATCACTAATTCTTTGAAAGTTTTTACACTTACCAAACACTCTTCCCTTACGGCACTTTCTCCTATTGGTCCCAGTTGTAATCTTCAGAATATTACAAAATAAATGGAATCCCTTTTGCTTACACTGTCTTTGAAACAGAAACAGCTTTGAGCACTTCAAACTGCCACAAGAGGAGGCTGACAGAACAGCTACATGCCTTAAAGGGAAAACAAGGACTTCAGAGCAGGCAATTACAAATGATGCAATCAGAAAACAAAGGGAGAGGCTTAATGCTGTTACCAGCACAGCCTCTGCTGCACACAGCCTCCATCCCCAGGCAAACTTTGAGTCTCAAACACAAAGTGAATGACAGAGCTATTTGTGTCCCTTTCTACTTGACTTCAACAACATCTTTAAAGAAAACATGTTCTAAATGTACAAGTAAGTTAATTACTGTAAACGACGCTGTTCGCAAGAGTCAGAAGAGGGCCCTGATCATGTTTAAAGTAATAAAAGACAGTTAAAAATCATTGAGTTGTTAGCATTTAGCTTAGACATAATACAGAAATAAGAAGAAAGAGGAGGAAAATTTTATGGCAACATAGGAATAAGCAGAAAAAACTACTTCCTAGACAACTGGATTGTCTTGTTGAAAGGTTAATATTTAGTGTACAGAGGGGTGGGGGAGGGGGAGGAATCTCTCTGAATAAAAAAAAAAAACAAACAGACCCTGGTCAGGGGGACTGGCTCACACCTGTAATCCCAATACTTTTAGAGGCCAAGGTGGGAGGATCGCTTGAGATCAGGAGTTTGAGATTAGCCTGGGTAACATACTGAGACTTCATCTCTATTAAAAAACAAACAAAAAACCAAACCTAGATGCACAGCCTCCAGATCACAGCAGAAGGGGCTGTTAAGAATTCAATTCCATCATTGTCTAGACTGAGAAACCTAAACCCAAGTCACCTAAGGTTGCCAGGTAAGCGGCAGAGCTAGGACAAAATCTCCTGACTCCTCAATCTCTGTTCTGTCCATTGCACCATGATGCTATCTTCAGCAAAATTCAAATAACTGCAAAACGTCCATCCAGATGAACAACCCCAAATCTCACAAGTTACAGAAAAAACAAAGCAAAGGTCTTTACATTCTTCAAGTTAATGTCAGGGCTCTGATGTTCACAACCTCAGCTCAGCCGCTCAGCCGCCCATCCTCCCAGGAGCACACTCCGATTCATATTTCATATTTTGGTGTGACTTACATAGAATCCAGGACGGTTAGAAACCAAACCTACAGAAGGATGAGCTTGCAGAAAAATAATGAACAAACAGGGAACCACACCCAGAGCAAACCAAACCCCAGCGGTGGAAAATGCAGACAGCTAAAAAGGGAGTGGACTAAAAGAGAAAGGGACAGAAAGGGTGCCTTTTCACACGTCAGGTTTCCCGCAGGAGGCAGTGTGGTGAAAAGCAAACAGCTGCTGAAGCTTAGGAGCATTTGCATTCCAGGCGTAGGTCTACGATTAACTCGCTGGGTGACCTTAGGGACGGCCTCCCCTTCCTGGAGTAAGGGCTAGGTTTCTCCAACTGTCCTGGGAGGGAGTTGCACCAGACGACTTCCCAGGGTCCTTGCAATTCTGACCCAAAAACCTATCATTAGCCAGTCTCGAGCAGGGCTCCCGCAGCATTTGCTGGGAACAGCTGGGGCCCTTGAGGAGGCGTCAAAGACGCCCTAGGATCTAGGGCGTTTGGGTTACCGTCACCTTCTACCCCTGTTTACCGCACTTGTCAAATAGGACGGTGAGCCACCCCCACCCCCAACCCCACGAGGTCGAGAAAGACAGCGCGAGGGGCAGGTATCCTCAGTTCGCCCAGTTCACCGAGGGGTGCCCGCGTCGTACCGCAGCTGCGGCCCGGGGGCGCCGAGGAGTCGCGGACCCGCAGCCCGGACGCGTCCGGTGCCTGACCTGGAGCATCTGCAACGCCGGAGGAAGGCGGGCGGGGTCCTGCCCCGGGCCGCGAGCGCCGCCAGCCGGAGCGCGTCAGTGGAGGAACTCCGGCTCGGATTCCGGCCCCGCCCTCGGGCTCCGGCTCTGGCTTCGGCACAGCCCACCTTTCCCTGCTTCAGGACCAGCCCCTCGCCATCCTCCAGCGCTGCCCCGGCAGTCGCTTCCGGGACCCGTCACGTGAGCCTGGCGCCCACGCCCGCGGCCGGGATCACGTGCTCCTTTGCGCGGCCGCCCCTTTTTTCCTCACTGAGCGCCGGCGCGCTGCTCCACAGCACCACCTGGCGACCTATGACTGCCACTGCTGGGAGGACTGTTGTGGGCGCTGGAGACCGCGAGGAGCGACTGAGCGGGGCACTGATCTTGGGCGTGGGACAGAGTCCAGTAGAAGAACACTGTCCCTTGAGTTGTGGGTTTGTGAAACATTGCTCATTTAAACACTGGCTATATTTTCTTTTACGCATCTCGATGGGTTTATATTGCTTTTATAAGAAATATGCCTATTTTAAAAAAACCTTCTAGTCAAATTTTCAGACGCATACACAAACTCATCTGTGGTTGCTACTGGAAATGGAACTGTGGGGTAAGGCGACACTATCTTTGAATACGTTTAAATTTTTAAAGTAACATTTTTAAATGGATGGCAACATTTCAGCGTTATATGTCTAGGCTTCTCCTTTTACCTCTTTGTTGCAGATTTTTCCTTTAACAAATATGTAACAAATAGACCTCAATTCAAAACTGTCTCAAGAGACAGAGAAGATCATTGTTTAATGATAAAGGGGTCAATTCATCAAGAGGGCACAATCATAAATACACATGCATGCAACATTGGAGCACCTAAATAAATACAACTAATATTAATGGCCATGAAGGGAGAAATAGATAGCAACACAGTAATAGTAGGAAAGTCAATATCCCACTTTCCACAATGGATAGAGCAACTAGAGAGAAAATAAGGAAGTAATGAACTTGAATTGCACTTTAAACCAAATGAACCTAACAGATATATACAGAACTTTTCATCCAACAGAAACAGAATACACATTTTTCTCTAACACACTTGGAACATTCACTAGAATGGACCAGATGTTAGTCCAGAAAACAAGCCTGAAATTTAAGAAGATTGAAATCATATTAATATTCTTTCAGACCACAATGGTATGAAGCTAGAAATCAATAACAGGAAGAATCTTGGAAAATTCACAAATACGTGGAAATTAAACAACACCCTTTTTTTTTCTTCGAGATAGAGTTTCACTCTTGTTGCCTAGTCTGGAGTGCAATGGCACAATCTCAGCTCACTGCAAATCTGCCTCCCAGATTCAAGCAATTATCTTGTCTCAGCTTCCCAAGTAGCTGGGATTACAGGCATGTGCCACCACGCCTGGCTAATTTTGTATTTTTGGTAGAGACAAGGTTTCACCATGTTGGTCAGGCTAGTCTCAAACTCCTGTCCTCAGATGATCTGCCCACCCCGGCTTCCCAAAGTGCTGGGATTACAGGTGTGAGCCACCATGCCTGGTCCCATGCTTCTAAACAACCAATAGGTCAAAGATGAAGTCAAAAGGGAAATTTAAAAAAATATTTTCAGACAATTGACAATGGAAACATAACATATTAAAACTTACGGAATGCAGCAAAAGTAGTTTTAGGAGAGAATTTTATAGCAATAAATGCCTACATTAAAAAAGAACAATTCCAATTAAATAGTTTAACATGATAACTCAAGAAACTGGAAAAAGAAGAGCTCACAAAACCCAAAGTTAGCAGAAGGAAAGAAATAAAGAGCAGAACAAAAATAAATCAAATAGACAACAGAAAAAAACACAGACAAAATCAATATAACTAATAGTTTATTTTTTGGAAAAGATAAAATTGACATACCCTTATCTAGTCTAAGTAAAAAAGAAATCTCTAATTAAATAAAAAATGAAAATGAAGACACCACAACAGATGCTTCAGAAATAAAAAAAAAATCATATGGGGCTATTATGAACAATTATTTGCCAATAAATTGTATAACCCAGAGGAAATGGAGAAATTCCTAGAAAAATACAACCTACCAAGATTGAAATCAGGAAGAAATGGAAAGCTTGAATAGACAAAGAGATTGAAGATGTAACAGACTATTTGACTTTCTGGCTTTCTGTTTAAATTTCCCTGAAAGACCAATGGCTTCACAGCTGACTTCTACAAACATTCAAAGAAGATTACCAATACTTAATAAGCTCTTCCAAAAAACATGGAGCTAGAGGGAGTACTTCCCAACACATTTTATGAGGCCAGCATTACCTTGATACCTAAGCCAGAGAAAAACACTATAACAAAAGAAAATTACAGGCTGATTTATCTAATGCACACTGGTACAAAAATCCTCAATAAAATATTTGCAAACAGAATTCAACAACAATAAAAAAATATATACATCATGACCAAGTGGGATTTATTCCTGGCAGACAAGGCTGGTTTAACATACACTAATCAAACAATATAATAAATCACATTAACAGAATGAGAAATGAAGACCACATGGGTATCTCAACTGAACTGGCAAAAGCATTTGACAAACTCCACATCCTTTCTTTCCCTAGCCCCCACCCCAACATACCATCTTGATAAAAATCTCTCAATGGTTTAGGTATAGAAGGAATGTTCCTCAACGTAATAAAGGTCATTTATGAAAAACGCACAGCTAACATTTTAATTAATGGGGAAAAACTGAAAGCTTTTCCACCAAGATCAAGTACCAATCAAGGATACCCACCCTCACCACTTCTATTCAACATAGGACTGGAAGTACTAGCAAGAGCAATCAGCTAAAAAAGAAAAAGAAAGAAAGCCATCCAAATCAGAAAGAAAAAAGTAAAATTATCTTTATCTGCAGATGACACGATCCTACATGTAGAAAACCCCAAAGATTACCAAAAAAAAAAAAAAATGCTGTTAAATTAACAATTTTAGTAAATTTACAGGATATAAAAATCAACATACATGACTAGGGGCCATGGCTCAAGCTTGTAATCCCAGCACTTTGGGAGGCCAAGAGTGGGGGCGGGTCACCTGGGATCAGGAGTTCAAGACCACCCTGGCCAACATGGTGAAACCCTGTCTCTACTAAAAATACAAAAATTAACCCAGCATGGTGGCACACACCTGTAGTCCCAGCTTCTTGGGAGGCCGAAGCAGGAGAATTGCTTGAACCTGGGAGGAGGAGGTTGCAGTAAGCCAAGATCACATCACTCCAGCCTGGGTAACAAGAGCGAAACTCCGTCTCAAAAAAAAAAAAAAATATATATATATATATATATATATATATATATATATATATATGTGTGTGTGTGTGTGTGTGTGTGTGTGTGTGTGTGTAAAATTTTTGTACATAAATAATTACCTACCTCAAAAAGATATTAAGAGAATGATTTTATTTGAGATAGTATTAAAAACACTTGAGAATCAATTCAACCAAGGACATGAATAGTGTGTACACTGAAAACTATAAAACAATGATTAAACAAATTGAAGAAGACACAAGTAAATGAAAAGCTATCCCATGCACATGGACCAGAAGAATTTACATTGTTAAAATGTCCATACCCAAAGCAACATACAGATTTAATGCAATCCCTATCAAAATCCCAATGGCATTCTTTACTGAGATATAAGAAATAATCCTAAAATTTGCACGAGATCACAAAAAATCCCTGAATAGCCAAGAAATTCTGAGAAAGAATAACAAACTGTGTGCATCACATTTCCTGATTCAAGATTACGTTACAAAGATATAGTAATCTAAACAATATAGTACTGGCACAAAAACTGATACAATAGACCAATGGAACACAATAGAGAGCCTAGAAATAATGCAAACATACATGGTCAACTAATTTTCAAGAAGGGCATCAAGGCAACACAATGGGGAAAAGACAGTCTTTTCAATAAATGGGACACAGAAAACTGGTTTTTATGTGAGGAAGAATGAAATTGGATGTTTATATTACACTGTACACAAAAATCAACTCAAAACGGATAAAAGACCTAAATGTAAGATCCAAAACTATAAAATTCCTAGAAGAGAACATAAGGGAAAAGCTCCTGGACATTGGCCTTGGCAATGATTTTTTTGGATATCAGACCAAAAGGTCAGGTTACAAAAGCAAAAATAAATAAATAGGACTACATAAAACTAAAAAGCTTCCACATAGCAAGGGAAGCAAACAGCAAAGTGAAACAGCAGCTATGAATTGGAAAACATGTATGCAAACCGTATGTCTAATAAGGGATTCATACCCCAAATTCATCAAGAACTTACATAACTCAGCAGTAGAAAACAACCCAACTTAAAAATGGGCAAAGTACCCGAATAAACATTTCTCCAGAGAAGAAATAAAAATGCTCAGCAAGTATATGAAAAAATGTTCAACATCATTAATCATCAGGGAGAATGCAAATCAAAACCAGTGCTAGATACTACCTTACACATATTAGGTTGGCTATTATCAAAAAGTCAAAAGACAACAAATATTGGTGAGGATGTGGAAAAAGGGAATTCTAGTACACTGTTGGTGGGACTGTAGATTGGTGCAGCCATTATAGAAAACGGTATCAAGGTTTCTAAAGAAATTAAAAATAGAACTACCATATGATCCCCCTTTCTGGGCATATGCTAGAAGGAAATGAAATCACCACCTTAGAAAGATATCTGCACTCCCATATTCATTGTAGCATTCTTCATAATAGCCAAGATATAGTAATAACCTCAGTGTCTATTGACAGTGGAATGGATAAAGAAACTGTGGTATATACAGAAACAGTGAAGAAGAAGAAGAAGAAAGAAAGAAAGAGAAGAAGAAGAAGAAGAAGAAGGAGGAGGAGGAGGAGGAGGAGGAGGAGGAGAAGGAGAAGGAGGAGAAGGAGAAGGAGAAGGAGAAGGAGAAGGAGAAGGAGAAGAAGAAGAAGAAGAAGAAGAAGAAGAAGAAGAAGAAGAAGAAGAAGGGGAAGGGGAAGGGGAAGGGGAAGGGGAAGGGGAAGGGGAAGGGGAAGGGGAAGGGGAAGGGGAAGGGGAAGGGGAAGGGGAAGGGGAAGGGGAAGGGGAAGGGGAAGGGGAAGGGGAAGGGGAAGGGGAAGGGGAAGGGGAAGGGGAAGGGGAAGGGGAAGGAGAAGAAGAAGAAA